ACAGTTGCTCCTGGAGAATGCAACACTCACGTAGACGAGACCGTAGCCGGTGGCCTCGGGACGGATCAGAGAACCACCCCAGCTACCGCCCTTGCCGGTGAGGACACCCTCCCACCTGTTCCTGGCCTGGCGGTAGGCACCGAACATGTATCCGACCTCACGTCCACCGACACCAATGTCACCGGCGGGGACGTCGGTGTCGGCACCGATGTGCTTGCACAGCTCGGTCATGAAGGCCACGCAGAAGCGACGGATCTCGTTGTCGGACTTGCCCTTGGGGTCGAAGTCGGAACCACCCTTGCCACCACCCATGGACACTGTGGGCTACATGTTAGCCTACACTCCGATACACATCTTCCTCTTACGGATCGACTTACAGCCGGTGAGCGCATTCTTGAAGATCTGCTCGAAACCAAGGAACTTCAGGATGGACAGGTTAACGGAGGGGTGGAAACGGAGACCACCCTTGTAGGGACCAAGAGCGGAGTTGAACTGGACACGGTAACCACGGTTGATCTGGACCTGGTGGTTGTCATCCTCCCAGACGACACGGAACTGAACGATGCGCTCTGGAACGGCGGCGACTTGCAGGGCAGTCTTGTACTCTGGGTGCTTCTGGAACAGGGAGCTGTTCTCGAGGGTGGAGGCAAGCTCTGTAGGATTGCACAGTCAGAGTGCTGTCAAAGAACAGCTGAGGCGCGTGTGTCTTGACAATGGCTTACCCTTGTAGGCCTGCTCGAACTCGGGCTCGTGAGGAAGGTTAGACATGGTTGCGGTATGTGGTATATACGATGTAAATCGGCGTTCTAAAATTCCTCAGGATTCAACGGATGCAGGAAGAGAAGATACGGGTATATGATAGTGTATGAGGAAGATGTACGAGGAAGACAAGAGATGAATTGGAAAGAACGGGACGCTGGAGGGGCAGGGACGAGACAGCATGATAAACACCTCCGTCACCGCAATCGACAAGTTGCCGCTTGGGGACGAAAAAGCAGCTAGAGGGTCTGCGTCACGACATAGTTTGATTGATCTTGTCCGCTACAGCTCCAGACCCAATTGGCGAACAGCGCCAGGGTGTGGTGTCGAGACGCGATGGGGTGCGAGCAGGCCATAGTACAAATCTCTAGCGCCTTGTGTCTCTGTTGAAACACCACTCGTGAGTTTCTCACTGTCACCAAAACAGTGGCCGTAGGTGGCGACGAGACAATTTCTTGTTGATGTACAACATCCGTCTGTCATTCTTTCTTATCGGGCAATGCCATTGGCCAGCCGTCTAGTGACGACGGTTATCTGCCCGCCGCCTCAACTTTTCAAGGGTCCATGTGCGACCTCGGAGGAGGGGAGGGGCTTTTGCACAGACAGCACGCTACAATGTGGGGTACTGGAAATTGAACGGACGTTGAACACTGTTCGCGTCCCAATGGCAAAAACAGACGGCAGTCATTCCTCCATACACTGCATCCACAGTCTGCTGACCGTCGTGACCTCTGCTTTCAAAGCAACTGCAGAACTTCGCCACAATCATCAACCGCCGCCCGGAACAACACGAACTCACTCGTCGCGGCCGGGAGCAAGGCGTGTCCTCAACACGGTTCTCCTGAACCTCTCGGACGATGACTGAACTGGATGACCATGCCGGGCCGGAAGCAGTCTTGTTGCTTGTCGAAACATTCCAGCCCGCGGCGTCCGTCCAGCCAGTGTTCAGGAGACGAACCTCATGACCTGATTCTGCGCCTCGACTGAAGGTTAATGGAAACAAGCAGAAAGAGCGCGCTATGCGAATCAAGAAGAGACACATCGCGATGCAAGAGCAATGCACGATTCCGGGCTCTATATCACGCGTAATGGCTACAGAGGTGCGGATCCGACGTATCAGGCCTCAGTCGGCATCCACGGGATCCCAATCTGCAAAGCATCAGTAATGACTCAAGGTGACGCTCCTTCCCGCAACTCACCAGTGACAAGGTACTCATCAAGGCCATCTAATTTCTTCATGTCCGCCCCTCCGATCTCAAATTTGCCAACGTCGGCGTTCTCGGTTATGCGCTCTTTGCGCACACTCTTAGGCAAGGGCACAAATCCGTGCTGCAAGCTCCACCGAACCATCAGCTGGCCAGAAGTGCAGCCATATTTCTTGCTCAAGTCGACGATTGTAGGATGCTTCATCCTGAGAGCTCTCGCGAGCGGCGCATACGCCTCGACTACGATGTTGTTCTTCTGGCAGAACTCTGTAATCTCAGTCCGGGTATTGAAAGGATGGACCTCGATCTGGTTCACAGCGGGCATAATGCGAGGTTTTGAGTCCATGAGCTCTTGCAGCTGGTCTACGAGTCAGATAGCAGGCCCCCACTGTAACGTGTAGTAGCAGCACTTACATGCTTCACGCCGTAGTTGCTCACACCGCCGATCTTGACCTCTCCCTCAAGTACAGCGTCTTCGACTGCCCTCCAACTTTCCAGTCTTGCTCTCTTGCCTCCGTAAGGGCTGTGCAAGAGGAAGAGGTCGATGTAGCCGAGACCGCATTCTTTCACACTGCGTTTGATGCTCTTTCGTGCAGTGTCGTAGTCTGAGTTCGAGGCCAGCTTGGTCGTGTAATGTATATCTTCCCGAGAAACGTTCGACCTATTAGACGAGGAGGAGAGAAAGGAACTGATAGCATTGCCACATTGTCTCTCGTTGTGGTACCTTGCATTGGAGTAGTCAGAGTCGATATTCAGAAACGTTGTTCATGTTCAACCTGGATCATACATCTGGGCCGAGTCAAAGGCTCGGTAACCTGCCTGGAAGTTCGAAGCATAAGTCTCATTGTTCACTTCCTGACAAATGATTGATGTGAACATGCCTCTAACGCGTATCCTACTGCACGGTCGGCCTCTCGGCCGGACATTAGGTATAGACCGAGATGGATCTGCGGCATTGAGAGGCCATTGTTCAGCTACACGGCGCTTAGTGAGTCTCGGCATCGCACGGGAAGCTATGGAGACATGCCTTGATGCGGCTCGCGAGAGAGTACGACTGCTGCGACATGGTGATATGGTGTAACGAGAATTCGCAAACGGTGGGTGTTTCTGAACGTCTCTACGATGGACCTCACTCTCCGCTACGACTCAAAGCAACCGAATGATGACGTCAAGATTGAACTAACGGTTCAGAGGATATCGTCGCCGTGCTGGTGCAAAAGACTCGTCGAAGCACCCGTCAGGGAGCGGACAAGTATCGGGTGTTCTCGTGGGCAGAGAAACAGAGGTTCTGCGGTGGATTGCGCAAGGCGGCTCAAGATCAAGATCCCCACTGCCCTCCCAGTACCCGGAGAGTGGGCCGACGATCTCGGTGGAGGAAGGCCAGACCAAGTCAGGCCTTGACTGGGGAAGGAAATGGGAAATGCAGGCGAGTCGTCATTTGATCTACACGCTGCGGCGCGGCTCTGCCTGCCTTTAAGCTTCCAAATGAAGATTGCCATGGCGGCTGAGCTGCCCAGCGCCGCCTCTTTCTGATCACTCTGATCTCCTGCCCTTTATAACTGATCGCCTTGCTGTCGCCTTCGTGCGCGTTGTAAACTCCTCTGGACCGTTTAACCCCTCGAACGAGACACACTAAACACGGCTCAGTCGTGGCGCCATGCCCTTCCCAAACGGCTCCTCATACTCAGCCCGCGGCTCGTCCTCGTCGCATTCATACCAACAGCCCTCGCACGCCTCTGCCTCGTCGCCACTGACAACATCCCCCAACTTCGACATCTTAGACTGGCATCCCGCATACCAGTCGTGCCAGAAGTACTTCCTCGACCATGCGCAGCATGAGCCCGGCACGCAAGCGCTTTGCGCGTTAGTCAACATCCGTCTGCCATTCCAATGGCTACAAAGCCCTATCTACTCTTCAACACAGTCCTCCCAGCAACCCAGCCCGAACCCATCCTCCTCCTACTCCTTTCACGGACACTCAACACCCTCGTGGCAACGGCCCTCTCCCTCGCCAACCCAGCGCTCCCACAGCACCGCGCCTGTATTCGTCTCTCTAGTCCCCTACGTACGGCGTCTCGTCATCACAGGCTTCGACAAGCCCGGCATCCTTCATGGCTTCTTCGGCGACGCCTGGTCTGCCGGTATCACGCCACTGCAAGACTGCGAGCGGCGCAATTACCTATTCGCAGCCAAGCACGGCGGCTGGCGCACCTGCAAAAAGCAGTACGATCTCAGTCCCGAGGAGACTGTGCCGTTCCTCAAGCCCTTGCAGAACGTCAGGCAGGAGGAACTAGAGAGCGCGGAGAAGAGCTGGAGTTCTTGGTTGGCGATGGAGGATTGGATGATCGGTCCGCGTGCGCCGCCGGATACGGAGGAAGCTGGAGAGGGAGGAAGTGAGATGCGTGATTATGGTGGCCGGACGAGGGGTGGAGAGGGTCTGGGAATGCATGGTGGCATGGGCTTTCCGGCGGGCCTTCCGGACGGTGTCCCCGATCAGCTCAGGGATTAACCATGCCTTCATGCCGTCAAAGAGCCGTTGGCTCTCCAGTTGACTGTGCGCTGCGCAACTCCGTTGTGGCAGGTTTGTGGACACTGGGCGGACGGTTCCCCGCAGCACTGCTCCTCCAGTAAGAGGCATGTCGTTCGCCGTCGAGCATTCGTGAGATTACCATACTATGCAGGAAAGTGAGTTGGAAGAGACCGCATAATGATCTGCGTTCTAGCGAGTGATTTTGGAGAAGTGTTGGACTGAGGACTATCTCATTGATCATTTTTACGACTACCCTTATGTTTGTTGCTCTATATACACACTCAACCACGATGTTAACGGATTGGAATATTTCATGCACAATGTACTCTCACGCGATGAATACCAAGCAGTCTTGATTAGAGCGAGCAGCACAAGGTTGGCCGATTGGAACGCAAAAGACACAACGCAGAAACCAATCCCTGCACCCTAACAGATACCGGTGTTGCACAAATAGATAAGACACCAGCTGAAAAAGCCGGTGGGCAGCTCAAAAGCAAAAGGGCAGCTACTCCGAGAGGGGGTCGAACCCTCGACTTTCGCATCTCTCATGGAGATAGTCATATCACTTCCGAAGAAGCCATATAAGAACGACACGCTAGCCACTGCGTCACCGGAGTTTGATGGAAATCCTAAGGATTCCCGGCGACTTTGGGAGCGGAAAGTTTTTATCTTGGGTATATAGTCTGTGAAAACGACGTTTGTGCATGCTGGTCGCTGACGGCCCACCAACACCCGACTGCTTGCGAGCAGCGGGCTTCGCCTTGAGCTCTCTTCAATGTCCAAACTAACAATCATTGCATCCATTCCCGTGGCACTGTCGACATGCTACCTCAGGACTTTACTGAACAACCGAACAAGCATACGACGCGTCACATGACCTAGATGTACTACCGAAGCTAGCCAAAATGGGGCTTTACATCCATTCACTCCGCGCTTGACACTGTTGTCACTAGCCTCGTCACGCGCACGCGTCTCAGAACCAGACCCGCTGCTGAAGGAGGGAGGCTGTGACGCAGCCAACCAAAGAAAAAAACCTCAATGCTTGTGTGCATTGAGGGGGCATCTCACCCTGTTAGTTGCAAGCGACAATGTTTTCTCTCTCTCTCTCTCTCTTCCCCCCTCCCAAGAGCCTGCCCGAATACCGATACCGCAGCAGATTTTGGAGGTTCCACAGGCAGGCAAGCGCCCCTCCGAACAAGGAAGACGCGTCCGCTCCGATGTCTTTCTGCTGTCTAGAACGCCAGGCTGCAAGAGCTCAATCTTTCATTCTTCCATGAGCATTGATGTCTTCTCGCTGATTGAGCTGATAACGCAGGTTGCAATGACCGGGTCATACGGCTACGAAATCGAACATCAACCAACGGCGGCCAGCGGATTATGCAATGCATGTTGTCTCTCCGTCTCACCTGGGCTTGACCATAGGACATCCGTGCTGATGCAAGCTTCGTCGTTGTATTGCACTGCCTTACCTAAGTACAAATAACAATATTTATGTCCTTGGCCTGCTTTGGGGGCTGTCGGTTTCGCACTGAAGGTAGGCTAAAGGATTCCGACACTGTTGTCCTTTATGCCTTTGCACGGTTAAATCTTCGGCTGTGTATATTTCACTTGAAAACGGCCTGTCATAGACATGCACTCGTAGGCTAGCAAGTTCGCACCATCGGAAATCTCTCACGACAAGACACCGCAACTCGAGTTCATCGTGTTTCCTATTCTTGGGGCGAGCACTCTCCACTGGTCAACGCTCCTGCCGAGATGCAGCCCCAAACTCAGCTTGGTCGCTTCGTCCACCCGCCCATCGCGCTTGCCCTCTCCTCGTTCCCCCTCAGCGCCCTCTCAGACCCCTCCCACCGCTTCACCATCTCCGTCAATCCGTTCTCCAAGTCCCCCATCCTGAGCCCTCCGCTGTCGGCTGAGCTCTCCACCAGCCCCTCCTGCCCCCTGCCCCCGACCGTGCCATCGAGGGTGAGGGATTGGAGCGGTGGTTGAGTAAGGTACATACGCTTCCATGACGGCTGTTGGGAAGGAGATGAAGATGCGGCGCGCGTCGGGTAAGTCGAGGAAGAAGGAATGACAAGGGAGGGGAGGGAACGGACGTGCACCCAGAAATGACCTACGGTTTGCGAAGAACCAGGGACGGAGCAAGTGGTCAAGGGATCGAGGTCGGAAGGATGAGAGAAGAAGAAGGGGTTCAGCGTCCTGGGGAGCGTCATGGGGCCCTTGAGGACCAGGGGTGGATGCGCCTCTCTGTTCTTCGTCGCGGATTTGTTCAGGTTGCGTTTGTTGAATTCGATGCGCGGGGTCGTCGCTTCTGACTCATCCGGGTCAGAGGGAAGGGGAGCGGGCAGGAAGAACAAGACGCGCTGAATGCGTACTGAGGTCCTGATGATGTGATTCCAGTAACGGCAGATTCGAGTGGCGAGCAGCAAATCTCGAGGAGCAAGGGCGAGAAGGACTAGCTCCAGGAGTTCAGGGGTGGAGAGAACAGCGGATTGTGCTGGTGGCATGCTAGCGGTGACGTTGTTGGGCACGAGACGGATTGTGCTGGTTTTAGGGAAACCGGTCGAGTGGGGTGCCATGCTGGTCGTTCGGGCTGGAAGCTGGCTTCTTCAGATGAGCGAGGGTGCGAGGCGGGCGTAACGGCAACGAATTTGGAGCAGACCCAGCCCGGTCGACGCGTGACAAGTATGCTTTGCAGGGAAGAGCCTTGGAAAGACGCCGCAGTGGAAGCCTGCAGTTGATACCGTGAGCGTTGAGGAAACGTCGTGAAAGGGGTTCACTTATATCCATGGCCAGGTGAGAAGCCCGTATTGTTGAGAACTCAATCGTTCATAGACCGATGTGCGTATGACAGACTTGTCGGTACGGTTCTCCAAAAGCTGTTAGTTCTTATGCTGCTTGCCGCAGCCCCTTATTGTAGCAGGAGTTGTTGTACAGGTCGCAATGGCGGGTTGCCCAGGTGGTGATACCGTGACAGCGTGAGCCGTTGTTTCATCCGTGAGAGACAGACCTGGGCCGAGCCGGGCCAGAGCCGTACCGTGAATAGCACGGAAGTACTTGTCGAGGCGTGGACGCATAAGGTTCCGAGAAGATATGAGGGTTTTGTGGGACTCGGCGCGCGCGTGTACCGTTACGGTATCCCTTCATTGTTGCTTGTGGAGGTGATTGTTGAAAGGAGGAGCGGTCCATCAGTGCAAACAACCACCCGCATGAACCTGACCCTTCTCTTCCTCGAACAATCCATACCTCTTTTGCCTACACTCGCTCCTCTGCCACACGTTCGATAAGCGTAGGCTCGATCTCACGCCGCGTCTCACGTCTCAGGTGCCTTGGGTGCACGTGAACCTCCACACCCATCTCATACACTTGCAGAACTTTGTGCTGCGTGCTGGCGATGGGTTGGGCGCGCTGCATGAACAGAAATGTCCCTCTGAAAGATCATTGGCACCGGCGCACGAGGGAGCAGCTCAACGACATCTGCAGCTGTCAAATTACAGGAAGGCTGTGTATACAAGGAGCGGCCTCCCGCTCATGTGTTACCTCACCGTTAGACGAAGCACGATCACGACGAAGATGTAGAAGTGTGCCGAGGCCATCGGGTTCGTGCATGCGCCGTGCCCCATGGCACACTTGCTTATGGGGAACGAGAACTGCTTGTTGCGATAATATTGTTCGTAGTGGTGCTACCACCTCCCTGATCCATGGAGGAGTGGTGCAAGGATCAAGAGCAGAGGTTCCGGTCAAGCAAACTCCAGCAATTCATGGCTTCGGGAGAAGATTGTGAGGAACGCAGTCGCTTTACTCGTGCGAGAGAATTATATTATTTCGTCGTCTATATACAGATTGAATTATTTCACTCCGGAACGACCAGCGTTCCGCTTTCCCTTCCCTTTCTACAGCCGCTTCTTGTACACCATACCATGTACACCCCAAGGGCACAAGGTCGGAATCAGCCTGCGCCTCTTGCGCTCACAACCGCCCTGAGCGTTCTAGTTCCCCATCAGATGCACCAAATCTAAACAGCTCTCAACCGCGCCCTCCAGCTCCCTGACTCTGCCCTCGAGTCTGTTGTTCTCCAGCCTCAAGCTCGTGACTACGCCCCAGGCGTTGGCGTCAGCTCCTCGTCTATCCTGCGGCAAGATCTCCCTGGTTGAACTGGGCTTGAGGGGTTTGATGCCCCATCGCTGCCTCTCAGCCTCGTATGAGAGAGGGTTGGGAGAGGTTATGGACTCGGGTGTCCAGCACTCGCTGCCGTTCTCCGAGTCGCTCTCGAACCCGCTGTCGCTAGCGCTCTCCCTCCCCGTCTCCTCACCACCACCACCCACTACTCGGATCTGTTGTTGTTGTTGTTGTTGTTGTTGTTGTTGCTTTTGGCGTTGCTGCTTCTCGGCTGCCAACTCGTCTGCCAATGCCTGCATCGCCCGATCTTGCTGCGTTGCCTTGCACGCCATCTCGTCGAGCTGCATCTTGAGATGTCTTGCCCGGGTCTCACTCTCCTCCGCTTCCTCGACCGCGGCTTCGCGTTCCGCCTGCGCGTGACGGAGAGCATCGCACTTCTCCTTGTAGGCAGCCTGCATGCGCTTGATCAGAGACTCGGCGTTGAGAAGGAGATTGTTGAAGGAGGCTGGGTCGAGAGGGTCGACAGAGCCATTGGGGAAGAGTGCGGAGGTGATGTTCAGGTTGACGAACTCGTCCTCGGGTTCTTGTGGGTTGGGTGTCGAGGGAGCGGTGGTGTAGGTGGGCTTTGAGAACCAGGAGAAGCGGGATGCAGTGGAGGATTTGCGACGTTCGAGATTGGGGTTGTGGGCGGAAAGGGAGGATTTGCGGCGTGGGAACTCTGGTGCCGTCTTGCGCGTGGACTCGGGTGTGTACGTTGGCCGCAGAGGTGATCGCGCGGGTATGGCGGTCAGAGCGGGTCTGTACTCCATGATGTCGTCTGCCTCGTCTTCTGACTCTTCTGAATGGAGTGCAGTGCGTACGCCGAGCTGGACGGGAGCAGAGGAACCGCTGACACTGAAGAAGTCGCCCAAGGCGTTGCGGAACTGCTTGCCTGGGCTGCTGGGTGCAGTCTCGTCCTCGTCGACGGTGGGTGTCAGAGATGGTACGAAACCGGCGATTGTCTTTGCGCGAACGTGAAGCGAGGTCGAGCGCTTCAGGGTGTTGGCGGTAGCAGCTACAGCCGGAGGGAGCTTGACGTTGTCCGACCAGGCGGACAGTAGGCGCGACCCAATTGCCTGTGGAGTGATGCTGCGGGTTGGACTCGAGTAGCGTGATGATGGTGACAGAGATGTCGGGTTCCAGTTCACTTCTTGGAAAGGGCTGCTGTAGGGGCTGCCGTCGTTGACGCTCTCAGTGTAGTTGGAGTAGGCAAACTGTGAGTCGTATGCTTCGACGGAGGGGATGGTGCAAGAAGCAGCACGCGGAGAGCAGCTTGATGGCTGGGTGATAGAGTGGGCCATTGTGGGTAATGCCTGACAGGGTTTGGTAGGTTGGCGTCTTGGGTACTAGTCGGGCGCTGCAGGTTCTTCGGGTACCTAGTCGGCAGCCTTGCACGAGCGGAATCGCTGATCTGAGACAAAGACGGTGCCGATATTGAAGTCGAGGCCGGTCGAGATGC